GACCCTGGAGGGGCTCCCAGTCTGGGAGACATGTACATCCAGCCCTGTGGGGTCAAGGCTGGAGTTGGAGAAGCCCAAAAGGGGCAGGGAAGTCTTCCTAGAGGAGGGGTTGTTTGGAGAGGGTTTTGAAGGATAAGCAGGAGTTGGGAAATGGCATTCCAGGCAGAGGAACACCTGGCCAAAGGCTGGAGCCTGGGCTGCTTCTAGGGTTTGCTGTGATTCACCGCACACTTACCTGTGGCCTCCATCCTACCCCACAGGTGGGCTTCATCGACTACATTGCCCACCCACTGTGGGAGACATGGGCTGACCTGGTGCACCCAGACGCACAGGACCTGCTGGACACATTGGAGGACAACCGCGAGTGGTACCAGAGCAAGATCCCCCGAAGCCCCTCAGACCCCACCAGCCCTGAGCGGGGTGGCCCTGACAGATTCCAGTTTGAGCTGACTCTGGAGGAGGCGGAGGAAGAAGAGGAGTCAGTGTTAGACAGGGTGGCCCTGGAATCACCTGACCCTGACCCCGGGGCCCTACCCGTGGACAACCAGAGGACCTAGGGCAAGGTCTGCATGGACCATAAGGACAATGAGATGGCAGAGCGCTTTGGCACCTAATGGCCCCTGGTGAGTGGGCTTTCTGAGGAGTTCCCACGTGGCCCCTGCTTCACTCTTCCCCGCATTCAGGGAGACAGTCAAGCTTTTAGTTACAGGCAGGTCTCAGGGTCTACTTGGAGGCACCTGGCTGGGGTCCACTCTGACCCTGGGCTTGACTGAAAGAGCTCTTTAAGGGGTTGGGCCGGGGACAGCCTCTTTTTTTAAAAAAAATCCCATATAAAGATGACCGGTAAGGGGATTTTAACCCTTGACTTGGTGTTGTCAGCACCACGCTCAACCAGTGAGCTAACCGGCCATCCCTAATATGGCATCTGAACCCGGGGCCTTGGTGTTATCAGCACCACACTCTCCTGAGTGAGCCACAGGCTGGCTCTGGGGGGAGCCTCTTGTGGCACCCTTGGGATCTTCATCCTGGACTTTTATCTCTCGCGTGGAGAGGGGGTGTCTGCCACCTGCTCCCCCTTCTCCAGTGGTCAGCCTTTAGCCATATCCATCTCTAACTCTGTCATTCTTCATTGGATACTTATTGGGCGTCTACTGTGTGCCAGGCTTGTGCCTGCTATGTGCTTCTGGGTAGCCCTGCACAAGGGGTGTGGACCCAGCCCCAAGAGACCCCCCAGTGGGGCCTTCCCTTCCTTCTCTAGCAGGCAGGAAAATGGGACTGCAAATGGGGGAATTTTCAGCATTGAAACTTCGTCCAGACCCAATTCCGGTGCAGGAGATGTGGTGGGAGGCAGTAAGGGGGCAGGAAAGAGGCGGCTCTGTATTGGGGACCGTTATTGAAGATTGATTTAGGCTGTGCACCGGTTGTTGCTTTAAGTCACTGTATCTTCTGTCTTCAGCACCTCTGGATGTATGTGCCCCCTGCTCTCTCTGGCCTCAAGACCTGGGGCTGGGTCTCCCATTCATCCTCCTTGCAGAACAGCAACAAAACCACAGTATGCCCCACCCCCTGGCGATTGCCTCAGATTTCCCTAGAGGGAGGGAGGCCTCTGACACTTTCTTGCAAGTCACAGCCCTGCCTGGGCCTCAGTTTCCCCTCTATGACTTATTTTGTTACTTGGATAAACTTTGGTTAGTGGAGCAGTATTGTGACCT